ATAATATTTTCATAAATAAACAAAATCAGTCAATTCAGACATTTCAACCAGAATTTCATAAATTTCAGCGAAATTAGTCAATGTAGTTGATTTGGGTATTACCAAACAGGCTCTTAATCAATAATCATTCACCACGTCAGAGTGCTCCTTAATGAGCACGTTAGGGTGTTCTTTAATGAGCACGCTGGCGTGCACCATAAATATCTCTTACTTTTATTCTCTTTTAGAAAAGATCAATTATGACTTTTAAAAAATGAACTTTCGTTGATTCTAATTTTGTTTCTTTAAGTTCCTTCCCCTCATAAACATTAATATTACATTAGTGATTAGTGATTATACCTCCTTTTGGTTTTAAATAAATAAAAAATCTTTTACTAAAAGCATTACTTTTAAGAAATAATTATATATTTATGACTATAATAAAGATTGTTCACAAAAATGTTACTAGTGACTAGAGTAGTAATGACATCATAGTAACTTATGTTCAATTTTTAAACTTAAGTTACCATGATTATATGCACTATTTCTGAGTGCATAAGTTTGTTATTTTATTATTGTTTGTTTGTTTGTTTGTTGTTTTTATATGTTTAGTTTAGTTTGTGATGTATTCTCTAGATTTATTTTGTAGTTTGTAATTTGTATTTCTTGTGTGTAATTTGCACCTTTTTGTGTAAGTTTGTTGTAAGGGGGTGTAATAATGGAGTATTTTAGGTACCAAAAGAAGGCAAGGAGAAACTTGAATATAAGTCCTGGTACGAAACTCGGTCGGGTTGGAGTTGACATACGAAACAACTAGGTGCTACTCGCCGAAACCTGGTCGGGTTAGTACTCAACCCGGTTGAGTTGGATTGATATGGACAAAAGATCATGGCAAAGATCAAGAAGACGTGGGAGATATACGATTTGATATGTAACCCGTCGGGTTTGAGTTGACATTGAGCAAAAAGATGTGCCAAAGATCAAAGAATCGTGAAAAATCAAATTCGGTTTGCAACCCGATCGGATTTTCCAACAACCCAGATGGGTTGGATGTGACTTTAGCACTTCCGGAGCACTTTAAAGTATCCCCGATCAGGTATGCTATATACCCGGTCGGGTATCAGATCCAACCTCCTCCAAACACCTATAAATACACCCCTTTTACTCTCCATTTTGATATCCCTTCTTCCATGTACTTAAGTTCAACTTAGAATAATATTTTTTTTATATTTTTCTAGCATTGTTTAGTCTCCAAATGAGAAACTAAACTTCCATTTCTTGGTTTTGCTCTTGAAGCTCGTTGAATATTAAAGTTGTGAGTTATTTTCTCACTTCTTCCCTTGGATATTAATTCTTCCTTTATTCTATCTATATATTAATGTTGGGGAGTGTTGCTAAGATGACAATTAGTAAACATCTTGACATTAATTACTAGTAGAAATGATCAATGAACCGATGATTAATCATTGATGGTTTCACAAGTAAGTAACTTCGGGTTATTAATGCACGATCATGGTTAATAATTTTAAGAGGGATTCATTGTGTTTGTTAAACCGAAACCGTTGTGTTGAGGTTATCGATCTCAATTGATTTCATCAAGGAGTTAAGAGATTAAATGCTACTATCAAGTCAGTATATGACAGTTTTCTATACTTGGTTTATAGTAAGAGTTATTAATGAAAGGTCATTTTTAATAACTACACTCGATGAATTGAAGATACTTCTCGATTGAGTATTTTAGAGGGGATACGTTATAGATATAACCGGGGTCAGCAAACATATCAACAAGTGGAAAGTAGCAAAATCAAGTCTTTTATCTCATTAATTAAAATCATATAAGTCGTTCATCTTAGTGTTTAGTTCATTAAAATCAAGCAATCCAAAACTCCTTTTTAATTACTAGTTCATTGAAAGAAAATTATTGCTTTCCCTGTGGATACGAACTCTACTACATTATACTTCCTTTGTCCCTTATAACTTTGCCAAGTTTGACCAGCACGGGGATTAATAAAGTAAAAACTGTGTTGTTGAGGTTTGTGTAGAGGAGAGAGAATTAACTGGAACCACAAATTCTTTACTTCAAATGAAAAGTGACAAAGTTAATGTGTGAGACATTCAAAAAAGAAAGTTTACAAAGTTTTAATGGACGGAGGGAGACTACGTATAAGTGTCAAGTATTGAAATTATTTTGAGACACATACGACTTTAGTGTCGTCACATGAGACTACATTGTAGTAACTAATTAACTATTAGTCATATTTGTATAAATAGACTTTATTTTAGTAATGTTTTCGGGAAAAAAACCCTACTTTTGAAATAGACAAAAGGATGTAAAATGTAAAATATTTAACTATTTGGCATTTTACTAGAACATATGGAGTATAATGTAATAGATTAAAAAGCATAACAAAAAAATAAATAAAGAGATCGAATGTACTTCCAAAATGTCTAATACAAGTTGGGTTCTAAAGAAACGACAATCTCGGAAAATTGTGTTGGGTAGAAGGTAAGGGCGATAATGTGATATCCAAATCACATTTGTCTAGCCTTAAAATGGTATATAGAAATTGTTCAATATAGGAGTAAATATTAACATAATTGCATGAATAGGAGTAAAAATTTAAAACTTTCTTCAATAGGAGTAAACATTGATTTTCTACCCTTAATACCCCTAACATAATTAATTCCAAAATAGGACTTATTTGATCCTATAAAAACATAAAAAATTATAAAATGTTTTAATAAAATATTAAAACAATAAAATTAAGAAAAAAATCAAAATAAAAATTATAAATAGATAAATTATATATCAAACACATTAAAAAATATAAAAAAATACGGAGGTGTTTCCTGCAGCCTCGGCCACTACCCAACAATGCGACCTCCTATCAAACTATAAAGGTGACATTTTTACTCTTTGAAAATGCTAAGTTTTCTCGAAAACTACCATCAAGATGGCATTCTTGATAAATGTTGGCATTTTTTCGGTGATCGGAGTTGCTGGTGCTGGGAGGTTGTTGAGGCGAAGGCAAAGCTTGCATATTTTTTATAAATTTTTCATTTTTTATTTTTTGATTTTAATTTTTTGTTTTTTATTTATTTATTTTTAATAATTTATTTTATTAATTTTATTTTATATATATTTTTGTATTTTTATTTTTTAACATTTTTATTATAAGTTAATTAATGTTATTTATTTTATGATTTAATTATTAATGAAAATGGTTGGGGCCGTGGGGCTTGGGTAGCGGCATATTTGTCCCTGGCTAAAATTACTCATATTCAAAAAAAGATACTCCTATTTGTGCATTTTGCCTATGATTTACTCCTAGAATTCACTCTATGGTGTAAGGTTTTAGCATTTAGAATTTAAGGTTTTGCAACAACTGAAACAACAATGACATTACACGAGGCAACGACAACCACAATGAGGCCCAACCGCGCGACAACTGCGAAAGCGGTCTGGTCTAATTTAGGCTTATTAGAAACATATGTACTTGGGATGTTTTCTTTTGCATTGAAATTTGCTGGTCTAGTCTGGCATGGTCTGAACTGGTCTGGTCTGGTACATGACTTGTCTTTGTGTATTTTATAACTATGGAAGTCTGATCTGGTCTGATCTAGAACTGAAAACTGTCCAAAAGAAAACATCCTTAATCGTCAAAGCTTGATATTTTTTAAAGTATACTTATTCGTCAAAATGTGTTTGATTTATTATGCCAATCATCAAGAGTGATATAACACTAATATAACTATGTAAGGGCACCACGGAGTTTTCCTAGAAACAAAGTATATCTACCTAGATGTTACTTGCTCTCATTCTACCACCCCACATCCGGGGTTTTAGTTTTTCCCTTGATATTACCAAATTAAAGTTTTATTTTTCAAAAATGTGACCACATTTACATTTGGACAAAAATGTGACTATGATGATTATATATTCGTAAAAATACGAAGTGACTACCAAAAATTCATGTCACCGTCCAACTTTCATGTTATTGTCGGATGTCACTGCCGCCATCGCCCGTGTCACTGCCGTGGCCGCCGCCAGTCATTGCTGTCGTCACTTTCGCCGGTCACCGCCTCCAATCATAGTGACACCTCCGCCCGCAATGACATGACACAGAGTTAGTGACATCCACCACCAGCACCTTCGACTGGCGACCGTCGTCATCTTGAGACCACCTCCGGTCACACGGACGTAATGACAATGACCACAATGACACTGACTATAGTGATGTCGACCACAGTGAACCGATCACAATGACACCATTGTCACCACCGTCCCTCTGCCCCGAGTCCCTAAGCCACCTTCACCTTCTCGGCCACCCACATACACATGCCCCCAACCATAGCCTCCTCCCTTGTCCCATGCCTCACTCTAGCGCAAATTCCTCCCATTTCTCGTAGCAACAAAGTCAAAACACATTTGCTGCAAATTCAATCGTGCACATTTCTAGTACTGATGCTCATCTCCACCCTAACCCTACATCGCACAATCTTAGTTGCAAATTCAATCCTGCAGTACCAATAAGCAAAACTTAACCATAATTTTGCACTTTAGATCTCGTTTTAGAGAGAAATCATGAAAGAGAGAAGAAAATTAGAAGAGATGCAGTGGCACACAATAAAGAAAGGAGAAGAAGCTGAATTCGGAGGTGGAGTCGGCCAATTCCTCCGTTGTTGTTGCCGGTTTAGGTCGTCTTCAGCGGAGTGTACGGACCTGGAATGAGGGAGGCGGACCTGGTAGCATCGATTGTGGGAGGCAGACCTGGTAGCATCTAATGAGGGAGGCGGCCTAGATACGGGAGAGCAAAGAGATGGGATACAGGAGGGGAAAGTGATTGTGGCAGATAAGTCATATTTTTGTAGAGATTAAAATTAATGTTATTTTTGTCCATTGAACTCCTCTATCAGTTATATTTGAGTCATTCTTTCTTCATTAAAAAATTGAATTATGTTGTGTTGTTACCCCGTGAAATATTATAAAATACTTCTATATCAAAGTTGCATAAACCAGATGAAATACTTGATGTATTGCACATTCCATCAGTGGTCTACACATTATAGATTTATAGCCGCCGATAAGAAAAAGTAAACTTAGTAAGGACACAAAAGTAGAAGCAAAAAGCCTAAGAAGGTTATGTAAAGTTGTTAAATCTTGCTGCATCATATACCTATTTATATTATGGTGTCACAAATCCGTAGTAATAACTATGGTGAAGGAGAAGAGTGATCACAAATCCTTTTAAGCTGATTATACTTTTGGATGTCAAAACCATGATGCTTGATCAGGCGTTTCATTTTAGCGCTTACTCGCGCTTGAAAGAACGCTTCAAAAGATGGTTCTTTAGAAGTTCTTAAGAAGAAAGCATAGGCAGCCATGGCGTAGCCCGAGGTGACAAAGAAGCAAATGGGCTCCATTACATCCCAAGTCAATTCCCAGAATGTTAACCTCAGAAATATCGCTGTCTGAACCACTAAGTACCCGAGCCCGAGCCGAAGCTCTTTTCTCGCCATCCGTTCCGCTTTCTTCTCCATCGCTTCCATTTGCTTCTCCATATTCTCCAACTCTGCCTTTCTTGGATCATCCTGCTGGGCAGTTGAACTTGGTATTAGATCCTCAATTGCTTTCACAACCTGTCCAAAGAAAGAACCGAAACAATGTAGCTCAATCGCCCCTTGATCAAGCCCAAAGACACCTAAGTAGTCATTCCTAAGATTGATTAATGATAAATAGTTAGACATTAACCATCTAATCTCATATCTTAAGTATGGCACTCTGGATAATATGATGATTTTTGTGGCAAGTATAGTCCTAAGTCGTGATCACATTGAAATTTTAAATACTCCCAAACTAAAAAACTCTCCCTTCATCTATCATCTCAAAATCATCTTTTTTCTTGCAAGTCCAACATTCAAATATCTCATTTTTTTAACATTCCAAAAACACATTCCATCATTCCCAAAATAATCTTTCTTCCCCTCTTCTACTTCGCGTCCTGAAATGGCGAGACCGTGATGTTGTGACAGCACCAGCATGTAGCAAGCAAGTTTTCGAGTATAACTGTACGTCATCTGTCCCAAATTGGTTCGACTGGCAAAAGAAATAAAGAAAAAAAATTGAGATTTAAATTCACATAAAGAAGACAGTCGAAATTGTAATTATTCTTCGATTCAATTTTATTAAAATACTTTCATAATAAAAAATGCATTTGTTTCTTAAAAATAATATAGAAATTGTCCTGAATAGAAGTTAAAACGTTTTGAAATTCTAAAATAAGATCTTCATGTTTTTAGTCCCTAAATAGAGGTAATATCCTATAAGTTTGGAAAAAAACTGGCAAAAATTGACATGTTTAAAGGCCGATAATACCAAACTTAACAAAAATTACTTCTATTTAAGAAATAAAAAATGACACTACTATTTTGAAATTTTAAAACTTTTTTACTCCCATTATTGGCGGAAACTACTCCTATTTTAGGGATTTTCCCCAAAATAATATAAAATGCAACGGTTTCATTCTATTTATAGCATATGTAGACACAATACAAATTTATGCTCCCTTCCAAAAATGATTTGGGGTCAATTTTTAATGACCACTACGGTTTCATTTTTTAAAAAGGAATACAGTTTCAATATAATAAATACTTAACTTAATTAATACTCCGAATATATCAATTTTTATTATATTCTTATTTTTTATTTTGTGAGTTTATAGACATTTTAATTTAGATTTCTCATATCTAAATTTTAATTACTAAAACTGGTTTAACTATTCGAATTGATCATTTAACTTTATTGTCAATCAATTTTAAAAATCACAAATTGCAATTCAATTCAGTTTAAAATCAGAAATTGCAATTCAATTGAGCTTTAAAAACCACAAATTGAATTTCAATTGAGGACAAGCATGTAAGAAGATAGCAAACTAACCTCATGAGGTTTGAGGAAAACAACGTTTCCGAGAACGATGACGGCGCCGGAATCGTCCAACATTTTCGCGACTTCCAAGCTTTGATCGGAATTCGAACACCCCTCGCCACAAATCCCCATAAATTGCGAATAAGAAATGTGATTCTTTCCGACTCCCTTGAGTTTCACTTTCACCCTCTCAATCTGCGACAGGCGGAGTAGCTTCCTTGCCTCAACCACCGTCAGATTGCACCCCGGCGGAGGGACGAGCCCGTCAAGCCGGATCCTGTCACCCGAAATGTCCGTCCACCGCAATTTCTCTATCAGCTTCTCCCCGGCGACAGGGAACGACGACGGCAGCCCACCCGCCCCATAACCCGGTCGGCGATGCATGAACCGGAGGAAGACGGAATCGTCTATCGGATCATTGGAGATTCTCTCCGGGCCCGGAGGAATCCGGGTTTTAACCGCGACCCGGGATGTGGAGATCCGGCAATCAGTCATAGAAGGGTTAGCAATTCTGCATGTCCTAAGAAATCGGCGACCTAAATTCCGCTTAAACTCCATTAAATTAATGAAAGAAGGAAAGAAAAAACAGCTTTATTTTGAAGACCACATTCAGGCTTTTTTTCATGGATGAAGACGGAGAAAATTCTCTCTCTATATATATAGGAGAAAGCAGGGACAGAATCGGGTCTGAATATTGTTTCCATAATAAATTCGGGTTCTCCGAGTCATGATCGAGGAATTACCGTTGTATGAATGAACGGCTGCGATCATCGCTTGTTATAACACGTGTGTGTACCAGATGAAATGAGGCCAACGCAGAAAATTTAGATTTAAAGGTGAAGGTTGATGACGTGTAAATAAATTTGCCAAATTGGAATCCATCGAACTGATTCTGCTTCTGCTTCTTTTTTAAAGAAGAAACAGAATCAGAATCAGTTTTCAGAAGTCGATACTTCAAGTTTCTAAAAAAACTGATTCTAAGAGTAAATTAGAGCATCAGAATCACTTCTTCATTTTCACTCAAACACTCCAACTTCTGTTTCTGCTTCTTGAATGAGTAGAAGCAGTTTTAAGAATCGATTCAAACACCCCTAAATTTGGAAGGTTCACAAGTTTAACGCAAAGGTGTCGCCACATAATGGCTGGGCTATGCAGATGGTCAATGCGTGGCAGTGTGCACGAGAGGAAAGTCGCATTGCGTGTGTCATCCTTCGGCTTTTTAGTGTTCTTATTTCTTTTGGTGAAGACCATTAAATAATTTGCAACCGTGCATTAATTCCATTCTAAATATCAAGATATATTCCCTACCAATAAAAAAAATTTGAAATTTTAAAACAGGACTGTTTTTTATTCCTTTAATTAGAATAAATTTTTGTCAAGTTTGGCATTACTAGGTTTTAAAACATGACATTTTTTCAAACTTGTCAATAGAGGTGGGCGCGGTCCGGACGGTCCGGTAAATTGGTAAAACTCGTAATGTATCCGTGAGGTTTTTAATGGTCCGGTACGGTCCGGTTCCAATGATAGAACCGTTCGGTACCATGTCGTTTCGGAACAGTACAAAACCATACGGTATAATGCCAAACACATGTTAAATTTTTTGAACAAATCTTGCAATTAGTAGATATCATCACACCAACCAACTCACATGAAATGTTGAAATAAATACAAGAAATTACATACCTAGTACTAAAATTCACAAATACACAAATAGTGCAACACAACTAAGAAAAATTATAGCAAAACGATGACGCACGAGATAAATATCATTTTTAATTTACTAAGTTCATGTGAAAATATAAAAATGAATATCATCAAATTGTTGAATATAATAGAAATTTTTAACGTTCTTCTTCTTCGTTCAAAGTTAAATATTACTCTGTAGTTCTAATTTAATTTATAGTTGAATCTTGAGAGCTAAGATTTAAACCATATTAATTAAGTTGTAAAAAATGCACAAACTTGATACAACAAAAATTCATGTACACTACATTACTAAAACTAAATAATCATTAATGATTTCTAAAATTTTAATATTCTTTCAATACATACCAAAATATAACATAAATTATCTAAAAAGAAAAACTAGCAATATATATAAACAACACATTTTAGATATCTTAGGGACATATGAATACATACTTGGGGTATAAAATTGTTGGTCTAGATCTATTTATATAGAAAAAATATAAAAAATTCAAATGCATTATTTACGAACGGTTCGGTCCGGTATTTTTCGGTTCTCAAAATCTAGGACCGGTCCCGTACCCGTTTCAAACGGTACGGTTTCGGTACGAGATAAAAATCTATAGAATCATTTAAATATCCGATATTCTGTTTGATACCATTACGGGACGGTTCGGTTCGGGTTTTATGCCCACCCCTACTTGGCACATTACTCCTATTCAGGGAATAAAATACATGATACTCCTATTTTGGAATTTCAAAATGTTTTTGTTCCAATTTAGAGCAATTTCTAAAATATCAAATGGACCGCAATCCTCACAACCATCGTTAGTACGAATGCATTTGACCTTCTTGCCTGACCGTATCTTAACAACACATGGAATTCTTTAAATTTCTCTTGCGTGTCCTTTATCTTCTTACCTGAAGTGTATATACTATAATATATCAAATAAAATACAAATTAATTGATTCAGTGTAAAAAGTTGGGTGGGTATTACACTAAAGTTCAATAAGTAGCAGTAAAACGAGTGACATAACCAAATGGGTTTAAAAAACAAAATCAGTTTTCGATAAACCTCACGACATCTAAAAGATTACATTTGTAAAAAAGAACAGGTGTATACGTATTGAATAGTAGTAATAATTGTATCTATTACTTCAATAATTTGTAGTAGTTAACAGTTATAAAATAACATAGCTCTTAATGAGAGATATAGACAGATTTGTTGTATCACCGCAGATCTGTTAAAAAAATTGAGATTTTATACATGACTAAAACAAAAAATCGATGTTTCCTGTTGTCTGATTATCAACAATCAACAATTTTGTAATTAGAAAGATGTATCAACAAATGAATTAAAACAACTAAGGCGAAACCAAACAGATCGATTGTGATTTAGAAATATACCGCAAACACAGTCAGTCAAATGACGAAAAAAATTCACTAAGATCGACGTAAAAGGGAATTCGCAGATAATCTAGCGACAAAGAGAACACTAGAAGATGCCAACTTAGCGAGCTAGACAACCCGATGCGAATAGACACACACAAATCATCGAATGGGACGATTACTCTGTAATGCATGGAAGATAGAAGTTATCGACCGGTGAAGAAGAGTCTAGAGCATCGGTTTAACCGATGGCTCTGGGCGGAAGCGGATAATAACGAGTACCGGGTAAAGAAGGGCTTATATATTTAGGGTTTGGTTGGTGTGCGAATTTGGGCTTCTTTGGATCTGAAAGTATGTGGATTTGGTCGAAAACGAAGTGTTTTCCATTGCTCATAATTTCATAATAAACGGGGTGGTTGTGATCAAAATTTAGTGAACTCATTAAAATAAATCATCTAACATTTCCGCTGACAAATTAAATAGTACTACGGTACTATTCCAATTTAACAATAGTGAGTTTTGATTTTGTATTTATTTATTGTATAACTTTTAAAATGCTCCCTAATTTATTTAAAGAAATTTTTAGTTCACATAATTTTACGTAAATTGTCTTCTGATGTTACATTAGTAAAATTAAGAGAAGACATATCATTAAATTAGGTATTGTATGTCTATTATATTCAAACAATATTATTGAAATCCTATTTATCTGTAATTTCCAGTTCTGGACAGAAAACGTTGATTAAAATGTTCAAAATATTTTGTTGCCTCATAACAACAGGTCATCTAATCTTTTTGTCAATGAACAAATGGTACTTCTTAGGTTAAGAATTCTAATTTCATAATTTTAATAATGTAATGTTAATACAGATTCTAATAACTTTAATTTGTCTCTATTACTATTTAAATTTACAATTTCTTATCTGTCGTTTAATAATTTTCCGAGTATGAGGACAACTAATGTCAATTATAGAGAGCAATCTTCGTACATGTGTCTTTCAAGTTACAAACATGGATGTGACGAATTATAAAGCATAAACAGGTTGTACTTCCATCACAATCACATCAGATTGATTGGTGTGACTGTTATTACTATTATATTCTCATTCAACTTTTAAATTTGGGAGAATTTGAATTTGCCCCCCATGTTTTGGATGATATTTGACTTTGCACCTTATTTTCAAAATAATTAATGCATGCACCCCAATTTACTATAGAATCATTTGACTTTGCACCACACTACTCATTCACAATTTCTGGGTTAATGAGGTGCATACATTAATAATTTTAAAAATGGAGTGCAAAGTCAAATATTACCCAAAACATGGGGTGCAAAATCAAATTCTCTCTTTAAATTTTAGTTAAATAATAGTGGACTTTCTTAACATTAATTCATATTATACTTACTTCAAACTTCTCCTTAATATTATTTATCCCTTCTTATTCCAAAAACAGAATTCGTTTTGATTATGTGTTATGAGTATTTTTTCCTTAATTATAATTATTTACGTGTATTACATCTACATGATTTTCATTTATTTACACGTCATCTGATAATATTAACAAATAATATCGTATAATTATTATTTAATATATGTCCCGTGCATCGCTCGGGTGAAAATCTAGTCTTAACAACACATGGAATTCTTTAAATTTCTCTTGCGTGTCCTTTATCTTCTTACCTAATTTATAAGAATATAAATTAGGGATGAAATAATATTGTTAACCATGGATAAGAGAAGATTGGAAGAGCAATGGAGAAATCCTCTTGCTTGATTATCTAGTTTGTGTCCGGCAGGGGCGGATTTGGCCTAGTGCTAGAGAGGGCCTATGCCCAACCTCAATTTTTTATTTTTTAAACTATTACGTAAGTATAAAAACCACGCACATCCTAAAAAGAACAAAAAAACTTAATATACCTAATAGAGTTACTTTGTAATCCGTCTGTCCGAAATTCCATCTCCCAATCAGCCAAGCCCAAAATAAACATGGCCCAAGTTTCCAAATCAACAAGGAGCCGAAGGACGCAGGGCGCAGAGGCTGTTAATCGATCGACTCTTCGCTATACGGCAAAAAATCCAAACCCCTACTCTTTGACTTCTTCGCTACTTCGCCAGTTAGTGGTCCGTTCGGCCTTCTCCCATCGGACTGTCGATGCACAACGGCAAGGTTGTCGGCTTAGCCTCTAGCTCAGTAGCCTCTTGGCGCTTATCATTCTTGCCTCTCATCTCTCTAGAGCTCGCTGGTAAGTATGTTTTTTTTCTTCTAATTCTGCTAACTGCTATTTGCCAAGTTTGTTTAGCCGTGCGGCCTATTTGGGAGAATTATATTCAATTTGAGCCATTTTATTATTTGAGTGAGCGAGTCATAAGTTTTACCATTTAGTATGAATTTATTATGAATGTGATTTTTGACTTTGGCATTGATTCTTCTCATTGTAATCGCTAGTGTTGAAAGAGTATTTTCAGCAATAAATATTGTGAAGGATAGTTTGAGCAACTAGATGAGTGATGACTGGCTCAATAGTAGACTTATTGTTTATGTCTACTATATTGAAAATTGACAATGATCTTGTTACCAAATGATATTTGTCAATGAAAACTCAG